TAGAGTCCACACCAGCTGCCTTGTTGAGGTTTAACCTCACCAAAATTTTCTTAACTTCACTAGGGCAAGTTGCGACAGAAATAAGGCTACCAGGACCGACTTCTTCCTTTGGATGAGAATCCCCATGTTCCAAATCATAGGATTTGGAAAAGACTGAATGGAAATGTAAATTAAATAATTTTTCCTGCTCAGATGGTTTTCTAGCACTGACTCCCTCATAAAAAAACCGATTCAGGTAGTCTCCTAAATTTGGTTTTGATGGAGTGAAACGACCAAAAACGCTTGGGATTGTATCCTTGAGGGATTCGGACAATTTAACAAGATATTCACGATAATTACTCCTTATAAGTTTCTTAGTTTCGGATCTAAGTTGTTTAAATCTCTCACGGAGTTGAATTGACGGCCCAGATTTTAACCTACCCCCCAACTTCCTCTTCTTTTTGACAAACCTAAGTCCCTCCCGAGTTATCCATGGGGGATTTAGCTTCTTTTTAACTACAAACTTAGGAATGCAGTCATCAGCAGCTGCCAAAATCAAGTCCGTGACATTAACAGCAGCAGAGTTCACATCATCTTCCAAAAAGGCACCGTTCCATGGTATCCAGTGAAAGAGCTCATACAAATCTTCAAGATTCACTATCTTGAAATCATAAACTTGTCTTGGAGAAGATTTACAAGAACGACCACAATGCAACTTAATGTCAAACAACACAGGATCATGGTCAGATACAAAACCATCTTGGATCACTTGAATATTCGATATCAATCTTGGAGAATTTGTCAAAATCAGGTCCAAAGTGTTGGCATTGAGACAAAAAATGGTCATTACATACATACATCATACATACATACATACATACATACGTACCTATGTATGTATGTATGTATGTACTGACGTACCTACCTACCTACATACATACATACATACCTACATACATACCTACATACATACATACATACATACATACATACATACACAGATGGAGGGATTAAACTTCGTGTCCGTGAAACAGTGCTCCATACAAATAGTAGAGCGAGTATAATGTGTGTAGGCAGAAAAAAACAACTACACATACATCCCTACAGACCTGTTTCGTGGTTGCCCACTCATCAGGGGATTTTAATGGCAGAATAATGTAATACCATCACTTATATACTGTACTAATTGCTGATGAACATGGTTTATGCAATGTGAAAAGTGTCAAGTCAGCTGTTGCGTAGGAGGGCTTTGTTTCTGTGTCGGTCTTTGGGGAAGTGTTTGTCAATCAGCGCGCGGAATTTATGTCCGATGTTAGTGCTGGTGTTCTTGGTGAAAGGCGGGCTGTACCAGAGGATGATTTTGCGTTGTCGGTTCTTACCGCCGACACAGAAACAAAGCCCTCCTACACAACAGCTGACTTGACACTTCACACTGCATAAACCATGTTAATTAGCAATTAGTATAGTATATATAAGTGATGGTATTGCATTATTCTGCCATTAAAATCCCCTGATGAGTGGGCAACCACGAAACAGGTCTGTCGGGATGTATATGTAGTTGTTTTTTTCTGCCTACTACACATTATACATACATACATACATTTGCCACTCGTTTATGAGTATAGGAGAACTAACAATTGTGGTAAAACGAGTTTGGACGATGGCAGAC